CTAAGACCGAGGTACTGCTCTTTTTTTTTTTTTCCCTTTTGAGATTTGAATGTGACCCAGTTAAAGAGTAACTCGGGGAATCACCATTCTGGAGGAAGAAAATAACCAAGACAAGCCTTTTCTACGATCGCCCCTGAACAATCAGTTGGAAAAGACCGGAGAAGACCCGTATATTGGACATAGGCTCGGCCGGACCACATGTGGGAACATTTTCCGCCCTCTTTTCTTACCCGTCCATAAGCTCGTTTAACCTCATTTAGTCAAATTCCTACGATGTCGCATACGGAGGAGGTAATTTGATAATATACATGCAATATAAAAGAATTAACCTGCAGAAATGGGCCCACGTGCATCAAGTGACACGAACGTCTGCAGGTCCTGCTTTTGGGTCAATTGAGACATTTAATTATTGAGAGATACTTTTGTCTTCCCTTTGGATGTCTCTCTACCGTCCAAATTAAAACAATAAGCCACAGCCGCGAAAGGCGCCTTATATTACACTGTTATATGAATATAGCCAGAGACAGAAGGAAAAGAAGGATGACTCCAAAAAGTTCCTATAAATATACTAAGAGCTTTGGGAGATGCAAACAGGACATGAAAACTGGGGACAATTGGAGCTCTCGGGGTGATCGTCCGAAATGTTACAAAGTACGGAGTACTCTGTACAGGCCAAGGTATTATTGATTGTTGACTTCCGTATGCGTACTCCATACAGCGCGACTGGACACAGAGCGGCTGCGGCGTCCAATGATTGACGCGCCATATGAATTTGATATCGATCATCCCATTCTGCTCTCGACAGATGTGTTGTCAGCGCGGAGTCCGTCCGGTCCCACTGTTATGTCGTTTGGGGATTGTCGGTGTCAATTTGTTTCGATTTGTTATTTGTTCACTTGGCCATGGCTATTACCGGACATTGGACTATTATTTATCCTGATAACAAGGTACTTGGTACACCGTACTTTTGCAGACAATAGTACATGACTCGTCAAGCCGTGTCGGATGCAAATGATCCTTCGAAGAATAAAATAATCAAAAATAATCAATAATTATCAAAATCACTACGGAGTAAAAGTCATCCACTTGCTTTTTCCTCACCGGCAGTGGAGGAACAGGTTCCGCGCCTGCGGGGTGATTTCCGGCCCCCCTGAGAACGCCAATCATGAATTAAACAGAGAGTGTCAGTTTTCCGAGCTGAGAGCCTTGCATCTTGAGCATTTTCTCCCTAGCTTTTCCCGTGTTCTTCCTATCAGAGTCGCATTTATCCAGGGTGGGGGATTGGCGGTGCTATCTCTGATTGGGAGGCTGAAAAGTGAACATTAACGAGAATAATAACGGGTACAAAGGGAACCGTAAATACTGTAAGAATGATACTGTCCTCCACTATGGCTTGAGCAATGAACATACACAGATCGTACCGGAGAGCCGCCGAATGCTCCGCTCGCAATTTGATCGGTCTGACCAATTGGCGGTGACAATGGGCTCATCCCACGGAAATCGCGCTAGGAAACTGATGGGCCCCCTTTCTCCTCTTTTCTTCCTCGGTACGGAGATTGGTCGATGTGGTATGTGCTTTGTACTATAATTATCACATATCGAAACGGTTTATATCAATTGGCAGGCAAAGTATCAATCGTTCGGAGTGGTACCACGGGATTGGAGATCGAGATCGCAGTATGAATCGGGACTCCTGTCTACAATTGAACCATTTGATGCTAAAGGCATGGCTTTTTTCAGAGTACTCCGTAGACAAGTCCAGATGTCAGGAGATATGTTGTAGGCTCCGCTCACCGGGGGTTGTTGTGATTCCACTGTCTCCACTCACGCGTCTGTAGGTATTGACGGTTACGCGACTACTCCGTAGATACTCTTGCCACGACTCGATAAGTTTCAATCAAGAAGGTGAACATGACTAGTATGTAGCCTGTGATGCGTGTTAGAACATAGTCGTCTATGAGTGGTATAGTCGGTCATAGTCAATATATGGACAAGGGCAGTTCTGCACAGAAATATACCAAATACCTGTAATCAAAGTGCAACACTGAACCTCCTTTTCAGGAAAAGAAGCTATAACCGGCTTCAACCGCCTCGGCTTTGAACCTTTCCAGCAGACTTTGACGCTAGACTCAAACAAGTCAGGCCTGTCCACCGAGCTTCTCCCTCCACCTATAGACCCACTAGTTTTCTCCTATTGGTGCGCCGAGTGCCTTTTGCTCGTCCACACTAGCCCTGGTCTTCCCGAGTCCCATCGCTTCTTCTTCCCCCGACTTGCGCTACTCCCTTTTCTACCCTAGTTCCCTCCGGTATCTCCCCCTCTATACCCCTTTAAGACTCGGTTCCATCTTTCGGTTGAGGTTCCTCGGGCACGCCATTCCTAGCGCCCACCTTCTTGATCAGGAGTCCCTGGCTCTGACAATCTTGGTTGGTACCCACGGGCCATATACGCTAGGTTCTCTCTCGACGCGGGTAGACTAAGAGGCCTCCAGTTAGGAACCTAACCAGTAGTCCTTAGCAAAAAACAACAACACCTGTATACATCATTCACGATATTCCATCCATGAGCAAAGACTTTTTATTAATGATAGAGGAATTTGAGAGAAATAGGTTGCCACTTCTCTCCTGGACGGTTCCGCTTTTTTTTCCTTTTCAAAACCGGAAAATGGAAAAAAAAATACAAAATTGTTATCACACGGACATGGAAAGCTTAGCCGGTAAGGAAGACACTGAGGGGAAAGGGGGCCAAGCCAGTTAAATGTCGGAGTATTGTGTAGAAAAAGGGAATGGTCCGAGATCAGAGAAAGTAAATTATTTATTAATTTTCATTTTCATCCTTCTTTGATATATCCAAATGTTTCTTCTCCTCGGAATTTTGTCTCTGTATTTATAGTGTATCCCTGTCTATATGTTGCCCCAATACGAGTATAGATACATACAGATGAGACTGTTATATTGAATATGGTATGAGAGACCAAAAGCCCCCCAAAGCCCAAGACCAAAAGCCAAAAAGAATTTCTTTAAAGAAATAAAAAAAACCCCCCAAAGAATCAAAAACATAAAAGCAATGCAGATGTAATATGTAATTTTCCCACGACCAACGATATCGCCAACCAAAATTACGTGGTCCACCCAAGAGGATCCACTGCATCCTCGGATCCCACGAGGACTGCCCTTTCCTTTCTCCTAATTATCTTTTAGGCCGCTCCAAGTCGCGTTGACTCCTGAACTTTTTCTTTTACTAGTTTCTTGAGTATTTCCCGTGGCTATTTTTCCGTCCCGGTGCCTCGTGCTTACCGCCACCTGCAAGGCATCCTCGTCCGAACTAAGATTAAGCATCTAAGCATCTTGGTATCAACCTCATTCTTTTTTTTTTCTTTTCCTTTTTCTTGAAGCTACGCGCTTTCAATAGTTTTCAATATCTTGAATGTTGTGAATTGGTTCTCCCTTTCTTCTCTTTCTCTCCCAGACTCTTATCTCGAAAGCATCTGTGCGCAAACCTGTTTGATCAGCGTTTCGCGACTACTCAACTTCGCATATCAATTCCCTGGGAATTGAACTGGAAAAAGGTACGTTAACGAAGAATATCCTAGACCTGAAGAGGCTAGCCACGATCCCAACGTGGCAAACTAGTCTCCCATCCCCTTGCTTGGAACGTGTCGGACTTGTCAATTTCCCCGACCTTTTCCCACTTGTTGTGTTGACGCGTCTCCACAGATTCAAGCAGATTCCTAGATTCGTCGGCATCCTTGCGCGCGAATCCTCACTTTTATGGACAACCGGCCCGCCTCCGAGTACGCCCAGCCAGGTTCGCACCACCCAAACACCGTCACCGACGCACCTTCTGAACAAAAACCTGCAGAACCAAATTCTGCTGCTGCTGCTCACTACACCCCGCAACCCGAGGTCCGCCCTACGCCGCAATACACGCCGCAGCCTGAGGTTCGACCCGCCAATATCTCCTCGGCCAACACCCCTCAGTCGGACTACAGTCTGAACCCTCCGCCGACCGCCCGCTCGCCTGCCTACCAGGACTACCTTCACCGTCCTCCCCAGTCATACGCCCCCAGCTCCCAACCCGGCGGCACGGCAGGTATGGCTCAAGCAACAAGTCCGTTCATCAACACCGTGCCTACGGGCCCGCGCAGCCCGCACTCAAAGTCTGACGCGCCCGTTCCTATAGATCCTTCGCTTCCGGCCAACAGCCCCACCTATCCTCCCCCCTACTCTCCCTATCAGCCTCAGGGGCATGAGATGGCGCAGTACCAGGGCCACCCCCCTCCGCCTCAGCATATGTATGCGCGTCCGGATTGGCCGCATAGCTATGGACAACAGCATCATGGATTGCCGGGACCTTACGCTTCCCCGGCCACAACGGTTGGTTCTACCTCTCCTGTTGGTGCACTTGCAGGGCCGCGTTCTCCAAAGGTATGTTTTTGATGGTTCCTGGGGGTATTTCTGAAGGCTTTTCACTTTGTTAAATCATTGTTGTCTTGGATGCCTCTGGGGTCGACTATATGGTCCGTAGGCTGCCGTCCTAGGGATCGTCAAGAACAGCGTGCTCTGCCCCTCAATCGCTTCCTTTTGAGGATAGGATTGGGTGGTTTTAAATCTATTGGATTTTGGTCAAAGCTGATTCACAGTCTCCTTTAATCTAGGTCTACTCATTTGTCCCAATTCCTGGCGCACAGCAGCATAAGCGTCCTCGTCGCCGTTACGAGGAAATTGAGCGCATGTATAAGTGTGGATGGAACGGATGTGAGAAAGCATATGGTACTCTAAACCATTTGAATGCACACGTGACTATGCAGTCGCATGGCGCGAAGCGCACTCCTGAGGGTAGGTCCATCTCATTTTCTTCGCTTTTAGATAGTTGGTGGCCAATGCGCCCGAGATCTCGAATCTTTTGTCGCAAGTGGCTGGATCGGGTTAGCGCCGGCTGTTGGACGCTAGTGAGTTACACTAGATGTCGCAAGGCCCGCAGTAGCGTGGCCGACGGCATGGAGGCTAAGCTTGTCTCTTATCCCTTCCCGCCATCCCCGCGCTAGCAAGCATACTCTATGCTATTTCCCATTTTGGCAACTGGTTGTTACTATCCAAGTTCAATGCTGACTTTGCTCTTTAGAATTCAAGGAAATCCGCAAGGAATGGAAGGCTCGCAAGAAGGAGGAAGAGGCTCAGCGCAAGGCTATTGAGGAGCGTGAGCGTGCTGCCGCTCAGGCCGCCCAGGCCAACCAGGTCGAGCCTCCCAACCCCTCTGACCCATCCCACGGACAGCCGCCTGCTTACGCTGGTGGAGTCCGCCCTCAACTCCCTCCGATCGGATACCAGCCCGCGGATAGCCAGCCCCCCAGCCAGTATGGTGGTCCTCCTGGAAGTGGCATGGTCTACCAGAACAATGCACAGATGGCCTACCCTCCCAACTACCCTCACTCTCCCTATCAGAGCGGACCTGTGTACCCGCAACGTGAGTAACGTCGCCGCCTTCTCTTCAAACCAGGACCGACCCTCTGGACTTCTCTTTCGACAAGGTCGTCCCTGCCCGACCTGTCCTGCTGATCCATAAATTCGCCACGGCTTCCAGAGACTCGATCCGCCAACTATCCGCAATAATCTTTCCCACATAATCACCTCTTCCGCTATGGACCTACACGGACGGAAATGCATGTGCTTTTTCTTTCTTATCATGATATCCCCTGTCCTTGACTAATGTTCTCGTCCTGGATTCTGATTCCCATTTCCCCCCAATACACCACATCTTTCCACTCCTAAGTCTTTCGTGCTATGATACCAACCCCTGCGGCTTTTATTCCTGATCTGTCTAAGAGTGGCCTTTCAAGCTCTGTTCTATACCTGTCATCCTTTTTGTGTTAGAGTGCATCGAGCTGAGAGGGTGTGTTGCCCTTCTGCACCCTCTCTCTTTTCTGTTTCCTACTTGAAAATCTGATGCAGAAGTGGTGTATGTCTTATCTTTGTTTGCCCGTCTGCTGGGGTCGTGGCTTCAAGGATGGTTTCGGCGGTGGATTATTTGCATCTGTTCATTATCGGCAGCATTCTCCCAAAATCGTTTCCCAGGGGTTTCTTTGTTTTAGTTTTTGTTTCTCGTCTCGTCTTATCTGTTAACTTTGCTACATCCACGTGTGTTCTCTTCTCTCCTCTCTCTTTTCTTCTCCATTTCCTTTCTATAACGTACATTATGCTCCACCGACTTATGCTCCAATCTGATTATGTGTATTATTGATTTCCGTTTGTTCTTTTCCATCTCTAGTACATTATCTGCAATCCGCTTAATTGTTGGCTGTTCTCGCTGTCTTGCTGATGTGGCGTACTATATACCCAAAAATTGTGTATGTAAAGGATGCCAAATTTCCAGAAATATGTACGCAAGGAAGTAGGAAGCGGAATCTGCCAAATGCAGGCTAGTGTAATAATGATCCAATAAAAAAGAAAAAGAAAATAAAAAGCCTCGAGATATCTTCTTCTCTGCTATGTGCTAGCCTAACTCAAGCATGCCACTGAAAAAAGGGCATAGCCGACCTAGAGAATCAAGCACGCCTTAGTATTTAGTGTAAGAATAGATCATTTTTGTAACAAACAACCTTAGAAACATCCTAAGGTAAGCCACACCTAACCAAAATCAGCACTAAGTAGTACCGGCATTTACCATGTACCGAGCACAATTCCATGCATTGAAAGCCTTTTGATCTGCATAGGTACTAGCAACTACTGCACAAGGTACATATGCGTGTACCTGACTAGAACCGAATAAGACAAAGCGCAGCACTACATGTGGACTGTACATCATACATGAGACAGGAAGCTAGTACCGTAAGGCGTCTCCACGTGTTCCAAGGCTGGACGTTAGTATCAGCCACTGATATCATCGTGGGGAGACTGGTAATTTTTTAGAGTTATTCCTAATTGTTTCTAGCTTGCATTCTCTTCCTACCTAGCTAGCTGCACGGTATATCACATTGCTTAGTGCTTAGTCTGTTTCTCTTGTACTCCACTGGTTTCTTCTTAGCTTCAGACTAGTGTTGTGTGCTACTCTAGGTAGGCCGTGCATCTCGTACAAATAGTCCGATTGGGCTAGAGAGGACGCTAGCTAGGCAGAATGTAGTGACTGATCTGCATGGGTATGCTAGTATGGTGTAGGTGAATGAGACATGTCTATTATGTTGTATGTAGCTATACAATGCCTTTGATTTTTGGATCAAGCTTTGATGATTGTGTATACTTGGAATTAAATCATTGGCGATACTTGGACATAATGAAGAATCTGAAACCTGTGGCTTGGGCTAGATGTTGAGGATCCAATAAAAAAATCAACGAGACAGAGAAAGTGAAGAGAAAGTGATGTAGTGTATGAAGCTTGACGTCGCCAATCTATGTTGATTTAAAGTAGGCAAGAGTACATCTTCATCCACGGATCAGTGCATGAGCTAAGTGTAATGCAGATCCAGATACGGAGTACCCCAAGGAACTAGTAAACTAGTAAAGTACTTAAACGCACAGAAGACTCTGGGAAATGTGCTCTAGCGCTCCCGTCGAGGCCCGCAAGGAACATGGGTTGAATGGGAACTAAACTACTTGTAGTCTAGTTGGACCTCGAAGGAACCTGAGGTATCAATGAGCGGATAACGCCTCAGGCATAAATTATTAGTGCCTGAATATACGGGCATTAAGACTAGACCCGATATGAACTAGCGTCAGGACAATCTGCGAAATTGTCTCCGCGGCCATGCAATGAGGAAATAACAATCTGTTCTTGTTTTCCCATTTTGCCACTTTGCCATTGTTGAATCCGTGTCTCCCTTATAGCATTGTGCAGGACACAAGCTTCATACCCGGAGATCACAGTAATCCGGTCATGACATTCCGGTTTCCGGGCTCGCTCGTGAACAGAGCTTTGCGCAGCCGACTTCTCACCCTGCAGCAATACCGTGCTACTACCGCATCCCAACGACTACCACAGACATGGATCACATCAAGTGACTACCGCCGATATACCTCCTCCTCCAACCGCTCTTCTGATAGAGATAGCGATGCTGGCCGTATAGGACATGTTGGCGAGAAATACTTTAAAAGTCGGCAGGGCAATAGGCGGGAGGTTCAACATGTTAAGTCTAGGGAGAGTCATGACATTTTGATGGCTATTGCTTCGGGTTCGTTTACCGGACGGTACAAGAGCGAGCTCGAAAGTTCCGAAAGTAAGGCTCTGGATCCAGACGCTGCTGAAAGCGAGGACCTGGAGAATGACCCCTATGATTACCAGGATGGCGAAAGCGAGGAGAAGGAGAGCGGTGTCTCTGATGACCAAGCACCCAAAGAACAAGATATTGAGGCCGATATTGAGGCCGATAGCGCCGATGGCGAGGATCCCGAGAACAACAGCTATCGTGGCCCGCCTCGAGGAATGCCCAAACTCACACCAAAAATTATCAATGAGGAGTTGAAATGGTTGAATGACCCTCGCAAAATGGCGGATCGGGTTGCGCGCATTTTGCACAGTGGTAATCCGGCCCTGGCGGCGGCCTTGGTTCGTGCCGGAACAAAGCAGGGCATGAGATGTGATGTTGCCTGGAATCATCTCCTGCAATATTGCATGGATCAGAATCACCCGCAGGCTGCGTTCAAGTTCTACAATGATGTGAGTATTGTCGTTCTGTGGTGCTGCCATCTAGGGACTTACCCGTGATTTTGAGGTTTGGACTTGTATGCTGACAGACTTTCTCTCACAGATGAAAAAGCGTGGCAGGAGGCCAACTCCCAGAACATACACGATCATGTTGAAGGGCTTCAGCTCAGCCCCGAGGTCATTGGGTGTCGCCAAAACTGCCGCCTCTGTCTACAGCTCGATTAGTTCACCGAACTCTGGAGTCAAGCTTGATATCATACACACCAACGCTATGCTTACCGTCTGCCATCGTCATTGGGATATGGATCGGCTGTGGAAAATTGCCGGTGAATTACCCGAAGAGGGACCAGGTGCCCCGGATGCTACCACCTACACCATTATCCTGAACGCCGTCCAATTCGCAGCTCGCAGAGATATAGAGAAAATGTCTCCTGATGAGATTGAAAAAATCCTCGAACGGAAGGCCCAGGTTATTATCGAAGGCAAGCGGATTTGGGCCGATGTCATCTGGCGGTGGAAGAACCAAACCCTGCAAATTGACAATGAACTAGTCAACGGCATGGCCAGCTTGCTTCTGGAAGGCGGTAGTGATATTGACTGTTACAATGTCATGGAATTGTATAAGCAAACCATGGGGATCCCCATACTGCAAAAGCGACCCACTGAGAACGAGAAGACGACCCGCCGCAGGATCACCCCCGAGCAAACTCAGGCCCTTGAAGTCTCGGAGGCTACGCGGCAATCAAAACTGGAAGACGTTCCGTTTGTAGACGAGAACAATCGACCAATTGAAAGTTTGAAATCGGCGGTGGAAGTTGAACGAGACTTGAGAGAAGAAGTGGAAGAAGAGATGGAGAAAGAGGAGGAAGAAATGGAAGAGGAGGAAGAGGAGGACTTCACAGAACTCTTCAAGCCTGTCGTTCCCCAGGCGGAGGAGCTATCATTCCTTAAACCCAACAGCAAGGAACTGACTCTTATCCTGAACGCCTGTTTCACCATGACCCAAGGATCCGAGGGTGGACAGGCCTACTGGAAATACATGACTTTGGACGACCACGATTACCGCATTGAACCCGACACCTTCACCTACATCCAATATTTCCGTCTCCTCCGCATCTCCCGCTCCAGCAAAATCAGTGTCAAAACCATGCGGGAGCAGATGGTTCCCTCCGGCCAAGCAAACGGAACAGCATTCCACGTCGCTCTCAGTGTCTGCCGCCGTGATCGCCGCAACCGTTCAGTTCTCCAGCACGCGAACGAGCTGCTCGCCTTGATGGATAAAGCATTGATCCTACCTGATATTCGCGTCCTCGAAGGCTATCTGGAAACGATCCAGATCCTTTCCTCCAACCCGTCTGTCCTTCTACACCTCAGAGGACTCGACGCAACCGATGACTCCAAAGCCTCATCTAGACTGGAGTATCTGGGCAGGAAGCTACAAGCGAAACTGCGACTAGTTGCTATCGCCACTTTACGGCCATATATCCTCCAGCTGCATGAGGCAATGGAGCACGGCAAACCTGAGTCGAAGACTCGCTGGAGTGCCATCCAGAACACGCTTTCGGATTCTGTCGCCGGTCCGGCGGCTGTGAAGATCATGTCCCGGGTTCGTCTCGTGGTTGATGACACCCTTAAGCCGGACTATAAGGCTTATGTTTCAAAGGCCGAGCGCAAGGCCCTTAACGATGACTCGAAGATGCTGAAAAAATATTCTGATAAGGATATCATTGCGAGCTTCAAGAAGAAGAAGGTATACCCGACGCTTCAGCAGAAGGAGGAGGCCCGGGAACGCATCAAAAAGTTCCAGTGGGAGGCTTGGAACTCTCGAAACCAAGAT